CACTCTCGAACAAAACACATAGACATTAGACACCATTTCATTAGAGATCATGTTGCTAAGGGAGATATAGAATTGCATCACATCGCTACAGGAGATCAATTAGCTGACATATTCACAAAACCACTAGATTTTGACACCTTTAGAACCTTGAGGACCATATTAGGTGTCCTAGATATAACTGCATAAAAAAAAATAAAAACAAAAACAAAACGAAAAAAAAGGGCCGCTCCTGATCATCACACACTCACTACACAAAAAGCACTAAACCTTGACTCTGTAATATCGTATTGTACGATACACATATTGTACTATACGGTATACTATAATCTACACAGAACACACCCAAATGGTAAATTTTGTCACTGTTTATCATACTGTATGATTAACATCGTACTGTACGATCCATTTCATCGAACTATACGATATCTCCTCTTTGTACTGTACGTGCCACGTCAGTGAACGGATTGGTACAAATTTAAGCGTGCTGGTATGTTATTATTACCGATCGTACTATACGATATATCCACATCGTACTGTACGATCCACCTCAGCCAATGGATAAGAACGAAATAAAGGCATTCGGTACGATATTAATGCAATTCGAACTGTACGATACACCTGTTCGTACAGTACGATATGTTTGGTCAAAAGTCATACTGAATTCCTCGGAATGATCGATATTCCTCTGATCGTACTGTACGATCTTCATCGTACTGTATGTTTTGACCTTCTTTTCCCGGCATGAACCATCAGAGTAATTAATACCATATCGTACTATACGATTTACAATCGTACTGTACGATTTGTGGAAAACTCTATAAATTGGGTGGATAGGCCGAACTCTTCACTTGCACTCCACTAATCCATCTACTTGATTCCTTCTTACCTTGCACTCAGTCTCTACACGATGTCTGGTTCAAGCAAGAGAGGTCGTATAGTAGTGGGAAGCTCGTCTTCCTCTCGCTGCCATAGCGCTCGATTCTTGAATGCCAAAAACGTGGATGCATACCGCAAGTTCAAAGCCTGCAAAATCACACCCTCCAGACTGCTAAATTAGGAGGCTCTAAACTTCGAGGTAATGAACCTCTTTGCTTCCACCACCCTCCAATTTCTTCTCACCCTGGCCTTCCCTTACAATTCTGAACTCCTTTTAAAATTCCTAGCCAATCTAACCTATACTGTCGAAAACCTCACTATCCACTCGTTTGTTTGTCGTCAAAATGTTGAAATAACCAAAGCTGATATCGCCCAACACATTGGGCTATCTACTGAAGGGCCTATGGTCCGTTCTTTTCTTACAAACAATTTTGACTGGAGCGACGTTAATCGCGTCCTTAGGAACGCCGCATTCTATCAATACCAACCTCTCGTTTCTTCACTAAATAAAAATGCGCGCATAATTCAACATGTCCTTCATACCTCCATAATACCCAAAGGTGGTAACCGTGTCAACATGACCCCGACCCTATCTGTCACTACCTACCTTATCATGACCAACACAAAATTCGACGAGGCCGGTCTGATTATTGACTACATTCGCCACATGACATTCTTTCATCTCCCTACCACTCGCAGAAAACAAAATATAGCTCTTGGACACCTTATAGGATATATTCTCCAAAAAAAATATCAATTGACTTATCCTGGTGAACCCGACAATATTCCTATTTTTTATATGGATGCCTCTTTCTGTATTCTTTTCCATCGGGGACAAGAGCCAGAAGAACCTATTTTTTATGAAGAAGAAGGAGAAGATGCCCCAGCCGCAGCTCCAGCACGTCCACGATGACATGCACCACCCCGAGCACTTGCACCAGCACACGACAATCTGGTCGAACGCTTCGACCAACTTCAGACTCGTCTCGATACTCACACTCAAGAACAACATCAGCAACACGAGATAGATATGCAATGGTTTGGAGAACACTTCACTGCTATTGATCAGCGCTTTGACACTCTCTTTCAGTACTTCCAACCAAACCCACCACCACCACCTACTGATCAGGATCCTCCACTATAAATTATCTTTGTATTGTAGTTATTTTTTTCTTTTTTAGTGTTTGCTCCTCTTTTTGGTGCTGTCAAAAGGGGGAGAAGATTGTTGTATTTTGTTTCAATGGTTAAATGCATGTTTTTTTTTTCTTTCATACTGCATTTTATTTTATTTCGTTTCTTCTTGTTCTTATGGTTAAATTAAATCTAAAAAAAAAATACCTTTAACACTTGCTTACAACAAACATTATTTGACATCATCAAAAAGGGGGAGATTGTTGCAACTCATGACCCCAAGTTTGAGATTTTGATGATGACATATAATGTCGTTTGAATTATCTTGAGATTCATTGAATATTATTTGCTATTGTCCATGAGTACTAACATTTCAGGAAAGATCAAAAGCAACTCAGGACGACAGGAAGACTCAAGAATGGGTAGATTAGGAGTATGAGTCTGCAATGTATTTTGTAGTTTATTTTATTTTTATTTTCTTGAGTCTGGCCACAAAATGCATAAAATTCTGAGCAACCATGCACACACACAGGGGGAGAATGTTTTTAAATGAAAAATTTAGAGTTTTTATTTCTCCTTAGATCGTACTGTACGATATTATTTCGTCCCGTACAATCAGAGCTTTGTAGGACGATTCTACAAATAGATCGTACCGTACGAATATAATCATAATGTACGATACGTTCAAATCCAAAACCATAGTCGTCATTTCAATTTAAGTAAGTTATTTTGCACCGTTCGTACCGTACGAACATGTTTGTACTGTACGATTTATTTTAAATACTTACTTAATTTAACCCGTGATTAGTGCAATAAATCCTTGATTAGTGCAAGAATTCCTGGCTTAATTATAATTTGAACATCGTACTGTACGAACCCTTCGTACAATACGATGAACAGAGATGAATTATAATCGTCCCGAAGATCGTCCTGGATAATCTCTTGGGCTTTGTCTCATCATACTGTACAATGTACATTGTACCATACGATGAACAGAGATGATGTTTGATCATCCCGACTATCATCCTGTACGAACAGAATTGGTGTGGATTGTACCGTACGATTTAATATCGTACTGTATGAATGTTTTTGAACTGTTCATACCACTTCATACCAGGACTAAGACTGTTTATGAATATCGTACTGTATGATTAGAAATCGTACTGTACGATAGTAACGACTACTTTTGAAATTTCAGGTTTTTGGAGCCCATTTTTTAGGTATCAAAATAGTAATTTTTTTTCAGGGGGAATTAGAGAGGAGAACATGGTTAGAGAGGGATTCCAGGGGAGAGAGCTCTTGAGAAGTTCTTTAGGGTTTGAGAGAGAAAGGAGAAGGTGAGGGTTGTGAGGGAGAAGAGGTGTGAGGGAGATCACACGGTTGCTCCGAACTTGCTGCATCTTCATTTTCCTATGGCCCTAGAAGAATTTGTGGGATGATCTCCAAGGGGAAAGGCTCTTCTACATCCGTGACCTCGAGGTACTCTGCCTTCTCCAGAAGCGAGAAAAATGAGAAGGTTCTTTGCCATCGCCAGGAGGGTGAAAACAGAGTTTGGCACTCCGCCACGCCGGGTTGGTGAAAGGGAGTATTGTAAGGGCTTCTCCACCTTGCCAAGGGGGGAAAAAGGAGATCTATTGCTTGTAGTGAAATACCCGGAGCGGAGGACTCCGAGAAGTGGACGTAGGTCATGGTTTGACTGAACCACTATAAAAATCTCGGTGTGCTTTTTCCTCATTGTCTTTCATTACTGCGTGCATTTTATTTTTTAATATTTGCTTGGGAAAATTTGTGAAAAAAGGTTGTTTAAATTTTCATGTTAAAACTTTAAAACATCAAAAAATATTAGAACTCCTGCTTAGGTTTTAACTATTATCAAAATATTTTCACAATTCACCCCCTCTTGTCCATCTTGTAATTTCAGCCTCAACAGTTGGCCTACATTTGTAATCCCTCAACAAGCAGATGGAGTCTCAGTTGATAGATACATCACAAGAGGGGGATGAAACTCTGAAGAACTCAAAACGGATTTTGGAGAAGAACTTGTTAAATTAATTAGCAAAATTCCCATTTCTACATAATTTTCAAAAGACAAAATAGAATTAATTTCAAAATACTACGGAAAATCAATTTCATTTATGGCATTTGAAGCTGCTGTTCACAAATTACAGTAGGTAACATATTGGACTTGGCTTAAAAAAGAAAAGCTTATCCCTCAAGTAGAAGTATTTTGGTGGAGAATCTTTAACAAAGCTATACCAATGTTATAGAAGATTGAAAATGCATAATGGTTGTCCAAGTAATTGCAATATGCAAGAAGACATTGAACATGCGTTAGTTAAATGTAAAAAGCTAGAAGGAATATTCCAATAGTTAAACAAGTGGGGTTTTGATTTTCCTATGTTCCATTCCTTGGATGAATGCTTGAAATGGATACCTCTATGAAATTACTGGATGATCAATTTGTTTTCTGATGTCATTTATTTTTCATGGAAGGGAAGAAACAAGCTTGTCCATGATGGAAAAGATGATAGTCCTCTATTAATTGCTTTGGAAGCTCTCAGCTATGCTACTATTTAAGAAAATAATTTTTCATATAAATCAGGTAAATGGGTTGCTAATCAGCTTCATAAGTTATTGGACAATCATTCGCATCCCCCTCCACCCGATTGGATAAAGGTAAATGTTGATGCTTCTTTACTTTAATCCTATAAAGCAAGGATTGGTGGAGTTTTTTTTTGAGACTTTAAAGGTAGATTTCTCTATGGAGTAGGAGGGAGTTTACGAGAGTATGTGTTCGTGTGAAGTTGGAAGATAGGCTCCCTTTTAGTGTTTGTGTTGAGGGAACTTTTGGTAAATTTTTCCAAAAGATTGAATACAAGAGGATATCTTCATTTTGCTTTAACTGCAGAAGGATTCGACATGTTCAAAAAGATTGTCTAGAGAAAAAGATAGATGAGATGCAAGGTAATGGTGTACAACAAGGGAAAACTAGGATGGATAAAGAAAATCTGAATATGAATTCCGTAGCAGCCAAGACAGATAAGTTGAATGGAAAAGATGTTATTCATAAGATGGTTATGGATCTTGGGTCCATGTAAATTATGCGAGGAAGAAATCAAACACTAATAGAAGAGTTCCAGTTAGTTTTATGAAGAATTTTGAGAAGAAAACTGAAGATGCTGGAATGATGGAGAAGAACAAAGAGACAAGTATTGATAAACCATTGTGGAGGAGGTTGCAAATATTCAACTTCTGGCTCGGGAATCCTCAAAATAGAGGAGTTCAATTGTTGAAAATGGTATGAAGTTCCATTCTGATAATAATAAATTTAATACTTTATGTGATATTAGGGAAGAGGGAGAGATTATTCAGGATAGTGTTGATGAGGGGAATTTGGGTGCAAGAATTATTAAAGAAGTTGAAGAAATTCAGGTTAATGTGGATGGGGAGGCTTAGGTTTTAAATAAGTTTGATAATGGTGAAAATGGTATTCTGGGAGGTGGTGGTGATGTTTTGAAGGATACTTCTGAAGGTAGAAATGATAGTTCTACTTCTGTAAAGAAAAAGTCTTCTAAACAACATAAAGGACTAGGTCCTATTAAGCTTTCTCTTAGGAGTAGAAGATTTGACGGGGAAATAAAAGATAAGGTGGGGAACTCTTCCCCTATTTATAATTAATGGATTATATTGTTTTTTGGAATTATAGAGGAGCTAGGAAGAGTAAAGTTTCTCTATACTTGAAGGAATTTGTGAAGGATTATGGGGTATTGTTTGTTGTCTTGTTGGAAACAAAATTGACTTTGGTTAATAGAAAGGAAGTGAATTCATAATTGGCTATGATTGGGACTTTTGCTATACGTCTTCTAATGGATTTTTTGGAGGCATATTGGTTGTTCGGAGATCCAAGCTAGCTTCTTTTTATTTGATTAAATCTTTATCCCAATGTATAATTGGTGATTTAAATATTTTTAAGATGGGTGTTTGGAGGATATTGACGGTTTATGGAAGCAAAGAAGTGCTTGGAAGGAGGGAACTTTGCAGGGATATTGAATTGTATTCATCCAAGGATACTCCTTCAATTATGGGTGGAGATTTTAATTGCTTATTGGCCAAAGAGGACAAGAAGGGTGGAAAGAGGTTTTTATTTTCTCAAGGTTTAAAGGAGATGATAAAGTTTTTGAGCAAGAATGATTTGCAAGAAGCTATTTTTCTGGGTCCTAGATTTACTTGGTGCAACAACAAGGTGGGAGGAGAATGCATTTTGGAGAGATTGGACAGGTGTTATTTGAATTCTATGGCTATTGGTTTTTCCCAGTTGATGGTGGTTCAGTATTTGACAAGGATTGCATCTGACAACTGCCCTATCTTGTTAAATCTGGTGAGCAATATTCCTAAAATTCAATAAAATATTAGATTTGAAGAGTATTGGGAATCTTATTCGGCATCTGCTTCAATTGTGTTTAAAGCCTGGAATAAAAGAGCTCTTATAAGTTTTTATGAAATTCTTAGCATCATGTTTAAAAGATTTTTGAAAGCTTTATTTACTGGAGTAAAGCTAAACTTAAAGATCTTAATGAATTGAAGGAATGTCTCAAAAAGGATATTTATGAATTGCGAATGGAGGAAGCTAATGTAGAAGCTCTTTTCTGAGGATAAAATCTTGCTCTTAAGGTCAAAGGTGAATGAAATTAATAGTACTTTGGCTCATTTGAATACCTGGTGGAGGCAACGAACAAAGATTGATTGGTTGAAGGATGGAGATAAAAATACAAGATTTTTCCAGGCATATGCTAACAAAAGAAGGAACATGAATTGGATTTCAAAAATTAAAATGAGAATGGGACAGAGGTTGATTATCAAAAGAAGATTGAGAACATCTTCTTTGATTATTTTAGTCATAAATGGAGGATGAGGGACTGTAAACTGGAAGATTGGCCTTCTAATTTAATTGTCCTGGAAGAAGATGATAGAAAGAGGCTGGATGCAGAACTTTCATTGGAGGAAGTTAGTGGAGCAGTTTATGAGTTAAAGGGTTTTAAATCTCCAGGAAATGATGGTATATCCTATTCCTTCTTAAAGAGTTATTGGTGTATTATTAAAAATGACATTTGGAATACTATTCATCAAGTTTTTTCTATGGGATCTATGGATTCAGAATGGAAGGAAACTATAGTAGTGCTAATTAGAAAGGTTGAAAATCTTTCAATACCAGCTCATTTCAAACCAATTAGGTTATGAAAATAAATTTATAAGTTGATTGCTAAAATTTATTTAAATAGAATGTATGGTATGATTCCTAAACTCATCTCAAAAGAACAAGTTGCATTTTTGAAAGGACGGTCAATCTCAGAACACATTCTTTTGGCTCATGAATTGTTTCACAGATTCAGATTTTCTAACTCCATGAAAGGCTTGGTTTCGTTCAAGATCGATATGGAGCAAGCTTATGGCATGAGGTGGTCTACATTGGAGCATATTTTGAGGTATTTCGATTTTCCTTGCAAATATTCCAAGTTAATTATGGATTGTGTGGTGGATGCTAAGTTTTCTATATTGATTAATGGCAGTTACTCCAAATGGATTATGGATAAGAGTGAGTTCTGACAGGGATGTCCACTATTTCTATTTTTGTTCATTTTATTCTCCTAATTGCTATGTAATGCTTTGATTCATAAAGGAGATTTGGTGGGGATCAAAGTGCACTCAAGTATCCCAAGAATATCTAATTTTCTTTATGCAGATGATATTATTATTATTTTTGAATCAAGTATTAAGATGGTTAAAGAGGTAAGGAGAACAATTGTGGATTTTACTGAGTGGTTGGGTCAGTAGATGAATTACAATAAATCAGTAATTCTCTTTGGTAAAGCTGTGAAGAAGAAAAAAGGAGAAGTATTGCTCGTATTATGGGACTTAGACCGGTGAAGGAGATGACTTATTTGGGTGTGAAGATTGCCTTGAGTTGGCTGGTTCGTGCTAACTTTCATAGCTTATTGGAGAAATCACTGGGGAAAATCAATACTTGTGGTAGTAAGTTTATGTTTTTGCAAGGAAGGACCATTCTTATTAAATTTGCTATCTTGGCTCTTCCTATCTTACAATCGACTCACTCTCTTGTCCCTAAGAGTATTCTTGCTGATATTGATAAGACGTGTAGGACATTTTTTGGTATAAACAGGAAGGCAAAGATGGTATTCATTATGTCAATTGGGAGTTGTTATGCAAACCAATTGAATTGGGTGGTAGGGGACTCCATTCTTGTTTAAAATCTATTGGGCTGGTAAGAGCTAAGTTGGCATGGAAGTATCTCAATGATAGAGATTCTTTATTTAATAAGACATTGTCTACTAATATGGGTCTAAATCTTGGAATTCTGGTCTGAAAAAATCTGCTTCTTGGAATATTATTGCTGATGGTGCCAAAGCTCTTGAAACTATGACAAGATGAAGAATTGCAAATGGAAGATCAGTTAATGTGCTGAAGGATACTTGGATTCATGACAAAAGCATCATGAAGTGGCCTACATTTATTTCTATAATGGTTGATTTTGATATGTTAGTAGAGAATTTTATTACTAATGGATCCCGAAATTTGGATATAATGAGGAATTATTTCAGTGAAGAACTGGTGTTGCTGATTAGAAAAACAAAGATTTACTCTAATGCTCTAAAAGATCAGGTGGAGTTGCTTAACCAGATGTCCAGTAAAACCATTTTTTATCTTGCTTATAATGCTATGTTTCTAATGATTCTTTCATAAAGTATTAGGGATGGATTAAAAAGCTTAAATTAAATTCTTGGGTTGAGAATTTTTGGTGAAGAATATTTCACAAGGCAAATTCAGTTTTCTATTACAAAGGAAATTGATTGAAACAAATTATTGTCCTAGAGAATGCTTGAAGATTGAAGATTATGAGCACGAGGTAGTGGGTTGTTTGAAATTAATTCAGGTTATTCAGATTTTTAACAAATGGGGATTTGTAATCTCGATTTTTGATAGCTTTGATGAGTATTATACATGGTTAAATCATTGTGCTTCTAAGCAATCAGTTTTGGGAAGTATGTATTACACGTTGGTTTTTCTATCATGGAAATCAAGAAGTAAAGGAATTTATGGAGATGGTGAAGATAGTAATTTGTTTATTGCTTCAAATAAAATTACTTTGTCTTTTATGTCAAGCAATACAGCTATAATTAAATGCTCGTAGGGAATCTTGGATGTTAATTCATCTAATATACTATTGAAAAACTCTTGGCATCCTCCTCCTCTCGACTGAATCCAAAGTCAATGTGGATGTGTGCTTAGTATCGTCATACATGGCTAGTATTGGAGGTGTGTTCAGAGATCATAGAGGAAGGTTTCTATGTGCCTTCGGTTTTAGTGAAATTCATTGGGATGTAAGTAAACTGGAATTGCTTGTTGTTCAGTCTCTGGATCAGTATTTGCAAAAATGGATCCTTCATTATAGAGGTATCATTTTTGAAGGTGATAATGCTAATGTATTCAAGCTTCTTCAAAGGTGTTACAAGATTTCTGTACATGGAGCTATTGAGGATCAATTGGAGGTGCCTTATGGGTTAAGAGATTTTAATTTTGTTATGTTTAATTGGGTGGATAGAGGTTGTAATAAGTTAGCCGACTTGTGTGCTAACATTGCTTTTAATTATGATTTTCTTTGGGATGATATTAGTATGAGTAGTATTCCTCCTTCTTTTTTAGGTTTATTAAAGGAGGAATGTGAATTTATCTGTAGTTTGTAATCATTTTCCTAATTTAATAAAATTGCTTAAGGTAGATTTCTCTTGGCCTTTCGACACACTTGTGTACATTGGGATATATCAATACTTGAACTATTAGCTATTCAATCACTCAAGGCAGTAGTCAAAGATTGGATGCTAAACTACAAGGGGATCATCATTAAAGTGATAATATAAATATCATGAAGCTTCTCCAAATGAATAAGAATAAAGATAACTTGGGAGCTCCTTTCAAAGATTTCAATAATATCCTTTTCTGTTGTATCGATAGAAAGTAAAATAATTTTGTGAATCTTTGTGCTTATTATGAAATTATTAGTTCTTTTATTTGGGAAGATTTAGTTTTAAATTAGGTTCCTCCTACCTTTATTTCTGTGTTAAAGGAGGAATTAAATGGGATTTTTTTAATTTTTTGTTTAGTTCTTTTTAATAAAATTTCAATGCAACTTGCTGCATTTTGTCAAAAAAAAAAAAAAAGTAGAAGGATTTATACTTGATAAAGATAACATCTCCTAAATAAGAAAGATTAAATTTTTAATGATATTAGCTCTCATATAGATGGATTTATACTTGAATATGATAATGTCTTTTAGAAAAGAAAGATGGAAATCTGAATGAGATATTTGCTCACAAATGGATGGATTTTATACTTAACTAGTATATCATATCCTCAATAATAAATATTAAATAATGGATGAATTAGAATATCTGAAATAGATATATTTTATAATTATTTTATACAGCATCTCCTAGATAAGGAAGATTGAAATCTTGATAGGATATATCCCCTAAATAAATGGATTTATACTAGACTAGGGTAGCATCTCCAAGATAATCAAGATTAAAATTTGGGTGGGATAGCATCTCCCAAATAGATAGATTTGTACTTGACAAGGATAGCATCCACTGAGCATGTGGATTTAGAATCTAAATGGTATAGTATCCCCCAAATAAATGGAATGGATAGTACAATGAAGTTTATAGAATAACATAATAAAATTTATAGAATAACGTTGCATGGTGAAATCAAAATATAAAAGAAAATAGTATGAAATTCAGATCCAATCATATTCTTTGGACCCAATTTCTTTTGTAAATTTCCATACATACAAACAATATACAAAAGCAATGGCAAGCAATTTTATTCATTATAAAATTTATCCTTTAACACTATCCATAACAATAGTGCTCGAGATACCATCCATTTATAGGTAATATTAGATGATCTCCTCTACAATCAAGCAACTTAGAAAACCCCCCTTGATATACTTTCTCTATCACAAAAAGGTCTTTCCAAGTCAGTTAAAACTTACCACCTATCTTTTGATGGATGGGCTAAAATTAGTCTTCACAGAACAAAAACCAAGTATCCCAATTGGAAAGTTTTTTGATGAACTTGCTTGTCATGTGTTTAAATCATCTTAGCTTTATAAAACTTAAGGTTCTGTTGAGTTTATAGATGCTTCTCTTCTAACCTTCAAGTTATTATAATCTAAGTTTTAATTATACTCTTAAGTGATCTTATAATTGACAACTATACACAATGAAGGCAGTTGTATCTCTAAAGGAAGAACACCCTATACTCCAAATGCAAAAGCAAATGGTGTAGACTGAATAAGATTTCTATATATGGTTATTTATGCCCATAAAGCCTCACCTAACTTTTTATGCCATTGATGTTTTTTATCATTATAGTTTTTCTTTAAAATTTGAACGAGTATTTTATTGAAGGAATCAGCTAATCTATTTGTCAAAGGGTAATAAATTATTGAGTATTTCAAATCAATGTTGTGACATTTAACAAAATTATTTATTTTAGTACTTCTAAACCTCAACGGGATTATTTAGATATTCAAGGTCTATAGGAGATAAAACCTAGCAACCTTGTACTTC